GGTTTAGGGTTCAGGGGTTCAAGGTTTAGGGTTTAGGGCTCAGGGGTTTAAGGTTTAGGGTCTAGGGTTTAGGGTTTAGGGTTTAGGGTTTAGGGTTTAGGGTTTAGAAGCACTGGCCTTCCGGAGGCCCGGAGCTTCACTTAGGCAGGGCCGTCCGGCAGGGGTCGTCAGATGCTCCCAGGCCACGAGGCGATGGGAAGGGTCTCTGTCAATCCACCACAGGGTCGCCCCGGCCGCATGGGGCATGAGGATCCTCGCCGATTTCAGAAAGAGACGCTTATTTAGGTTAGTCCTAGTCTGTTTGGTTTCGGGTTTAAGGCTTCGGGGGTTTACCGGGAACCCAGGAGGGAAGAAGAAAGGAAAAACTATATCACTGCTGAGTTCAGGGGATCCTCGCGTAGTAGAGTTGCCCATCTCCCTCCCAGCGGCCCAGGACGAGGTCTCCGGTGCCACAAACCTGCAGCTCGCTTTGCTGGTAGGAATGTCGCCAAACCTCGCCACCCGACTGTCGGCCACGGACCCATAAGCGCGAGCCTCCCTGGACCTGGAGGCTTCGAACCACCACCGGCCGGGAGAATCGAATGCTGCCCAGGGCGCCGTTTAGCCGCAGCACGGCTCGAGGCCGGAACTTCCGGGCCCGTCTTTTAGGGCCGAGCGTGTCTGGGGGCGGCTGCTCAGCAGGGATCACCTGCCAGGACCCTGTCCAAGTGGCAGAAACACCACTCGGCAGGCCTAGTGAGAAGCTTCGAGAGAAGCCTAAGCTGCCTCCCATGGCTAGTCGTGAGAAATCCAGCCGCCCCTCCACACCCACAGACTTGACGTAAACCTCCTTGACCTTCGAGAAGTCTTCCAAGAACTTGTTCAGGACGAGGGTCGCCTGCTTGTTAGCAGATGTGTCTGCATCCACGGCGCTTTTCACAACGTTGGACGCAGCCAGCTCCATCGTCGCCCGGGGATCACCGAAAAGGTGTTGCGGCACGATGCTGTCCAGCGTAAAGGGCCGGTGTCTGGCAGTCTCTCCCATTTCAGGTAACCCTCTGCAGAAAGGCCCATCCTTCATGGAGTCGCAGGGCTGCGCCCAGGCATGCTGGGCCGCCTCATCGAAAACATCATCTTCTGCGCACACGATGCGATTTCGGATTTGGGTCAGGAAGGTTTCGTAGCCGGAAGAAATGGACAGGGCTGCTTTGCCTGTCCTGGGGAGGATGGACGTCAGCGTCACAGACAAGACGAAAGCTGCCATGGCCAAACGCGGCACGCCTCCTCGTTACACCAAAGAGTTGAAGATGTGCTTCGAGTCTACTGCACTAGTCAAGCCTTCCATGGCACGATAAGTCACCTGACAACCTGCTGCGATGCCCTGAACCCTGCAATGGTCTCGAATCCTTATCGTTGCCATTGCAGGCATCAACTTGAGCCGTGCTCCCCGGATCCTTGTCTGCAGGGCTAGGGGCTTGCGCCCTTCTTCAAAGTTTTTTTTTAAGTGTTGAGTCAGACAGGCACAGGGCACCAGGGTTTAGGGTTTAGGGTCTAGGGTCTAGGGTTTAGGGTTTAGGCGAAAATCGCAGGCCAACCTTCGAGAGCGGCGAGAGCGGAAACAGTCTTAGGTTGCTTGGAGTCTTTGACCTGCGAAATCGCGGAGCTTGCGGCCATAGGTTTGGCATCGTTTGTTGGGGCTGCGTCAGCATGGAGTTCACCATTTTGCAGTTCTGCTCACTTCTTGCCACTGCGAACTGCGACTCTGCGATCACTTGGGCGCTGGGCACACGACCCTTCGACGCTGAGACACCAGTCGGCCAGCGGGATGGCCCCCCAAACCCGATCTTCCCACACCCCTCTCCGCAGCACAAAATATCCTGGCGACGGAAAACCGACATGCCCCGAAGCAAATAAAGCTGAAACCCCCTAAACCTGAAATCCACATCCGGTGGCTTTCCACAGCCGCTGGGCCCCATCACGGCCACAGTGCCTCGGTGCAGAGGGTTTAGGGTTTAGGGAAACCTTCACATACCATAACGTCCCAAGCCCTAAACCCTAAACCCTAAACGTCACAAGCCCTCCACCCACGCTCAGAGAGGCCAAGTCGCATCCGGCGGGAATGTCGAGGCTAATGTCACTTAAGATCACCTGGCATCAGGGTTTAGGGTTTGGGGTTTTAGGGTTTTAGGGTTTAGGGTTTAGGGCTTCAGGGTTTTAGGGTTTAGGGTTTTAGGGTTTAGGGTTTAGGATTTAGGGTCGAGGCTAATGTCACTTAAAATCACCTGGCATTAGGGAGTCGGGGGCGGTGAAGCCCTAAACCCTTCTAGCGCTCCTTCTTGACAAGACCCGCACATAAATAATAGGGGTACTCTCGATACATCAGAGCACGTATATGGGTAGTTCTCTAAAATAGGGTACTTTTTAGTTTCCTTGTTGTAAGTGTGCCGTATTGTTTTGCGGGCCGAAAAATGGACCCTAATTTAGAGAATTCTCCCATATAGTAGTAGCTTGGTACCCTTGGAAGCTCATCTCTCTCTCTATATATATATATATATATATATTTATATTTATATTTATTTATTTATTTATTTATTTATTTGTTTACCCCTATAGTAGCTCAGTAGCCTTGGAAGCTCATCAGGCACTTCAGCAATCACCCAAACCCTAAACCCTTAACCCTAAACTCTAAACCCTCAAAAGACCCCTAAAGGAAGAGTGAGGGCATCCCTTGTAACAAACCTGCAAGGGACTCTTTGAAGGAAACCTGAAAGGATTCCCAAAAGGAACCTTAAAGAAACTTCCGAAGGAACACTAAACCCTAAACCCCTAAGCACATATGGTGAATCCCAGAAAGTTGGAACATGGTTTTAGGGCTTCCACTTTAAACCCTAAGCCCCGAAACCCCAAATCCCTAAACCCCCAAACCCCTAA